GGAGGATCCGCACCAGGAGGTCTTCAAACTGCTCTACCACCAGCTCCCACAGGGACTTCCCTGGGGGAGGAGGCAAGGGGAGGGCCCCGGGTTAAGGTCTAGAGGATGAAGGTCTGGGATGGAGCGCCCTGGACTCTAGCCTGCAGTAAGGAGGCTCTAGGGTGGTGTGCAGACAGCTTGGTGACCAGAGAAGGGCTAAGAAGCTCGCCTGGAGTCCAGAAACAGACTCTGCAAAGTGGCAGTTCAAGGGCTGGATGCTTCAAGGAGAAAGTGCCTGGGAGACTTCTGCTCCGGGCAGGACTCTAACCTTTGGGGAGGGAGATTTGCCTTTTGGGAAGGGATATTTGCCCAAGGAATCTAAAGAAAGGGCAGGGAGGAGAGAGTGGGACAGAGGGGAGGGAAGAGTCATTTATGAGAATTCAGGGATTCCAGTAACTTACCTTCCTCAGCAGGCAGCTCTACCCAGGAAAAAGAAGAAAAGGACAGATTCATTTGAGGTTCAACCTCATGTCCCCCCAACCCAAGACTTTGTGGCTAAGGTAAGAGAATCAGGCCACCTTGAGGTTCATCAAGGTTATCCCATTAAAACTTCCCAAAACTCTGGATCTTGGGACTCTGTATCCTTTCCCCCTGCGAGCATTGGACAACGGCCCAGCTCTTCCTTAAGATACCCTGGAGGGAGAAACGCATGCATGCATGTGCCTTCGTGTGGGTGTGTTTTGGGAGTGCAGGAGGGTATTAATTACCCTCTTCCAAGGGACACTTACCATTGGGGCCGTATTTCTCCAGATGCCGCTTAACTTGGTCCGGGGTGAGGCCCGTGGTCTCACTCACCCCAAAATAGGCCAAGCATTCCTCTGTGGTTTTAGCGTGAGCGGCCTCCATCGCGCTCCCTTCCTGGGGGCCGGGGCCGGTGTGTTCCTTCCAGGGGGTTCTCACTCGTGGGGGTCTTCCTCAGTGTGTCCACCTGCCTGTCTGCCTGGGTTTTTTACTCTCCTGCCCCCCCCAGGTTTTTCTTCCCTCCACGAAGCTCTGACCCCCGTCCCACTTGAGCAGCCGGCCACCCCCCAGCCCCCAGCTGGTCCTTATGAGGGAGCGGTGGGGGGCTGGGCTCCCCCGTCCTCCAGATCAGGGATTGGCTGGCTGAGACTCCAGCAGGAGGGGTCAGAAGAGAGAGATATTTCTGCTGACAGAGGGGGAACAGTGGGGCTGCAGCCTGAGATGTCACTCATGAGGGAAGCAAAGGTGGCCCCAGCCCCAGGGAAGTGGGGTAGGGAAGAGACTTCACTTTGTCATCTGCTACTGACTCCGCCCCTCCCATTGCCTCGACTTCCCCAGTAGCATTGAATTTCCCATTCCAAACTCACCCTCCGAGTTTTTCCCTGAGCCCTCTTCCATCCCCGGCCTCACCTGTCCCTTTCCCCACACCCACTTTCCTGCCTCATCTGCCCAGAGCCTGTTTCCACTGCCATAGTCGTCCTCCCCACCCAGCTTGCTGGAGGAGGGGCAGAGATTCCCCAAGCCTTTGGGGGACTGATGAAGGGAGAACATCTTTTGGGGGCCAGAGGAAGTGGCTCTAGAGGGACAAGGGGAAGTGAAGAGGGGAGAGGGTCAAGGGGACAGGGCCGAAGATGGTAACCCTACCCTAGGGAGGGGTTGCCACAGCCATCAACAAGGGATTTAGTGTCCAGGCCCTGGTGAGCAAAGCCAGCACTGCCTGTCTCTCCCAGAAACCGCCCCCCCTTCCCCATCGCTCTAACTCAGCCTCTGGGAACACAGCCCTTGGGGCCCCCCCATCCTGGACAGGGAATCCCCACCCCCACCCCCAAGAAAATGGGACACCAAGGCAGCCAAGTAACCCAAGAGGCTACAGAATGTGCTGATGGCAGAGGGGGAGAGGAACTGTCTCAGGATGGAGGTAGGGGTCACCCCAAGTCGTGCAGTGAGGGTCACCTCATCCTACACTGTGCTCTCTTTAACCCATGGGGTTTCTGTGGCCAGCCCTGGAGGCCTGCAGTCTGTGCTGCACTCTGCCCTGCTGCATCTGTCCATGAGGGGAACAAGATCAGGCCCATGCTACGTGCCCAGAAGCTAGGCAGGTCCCACAGAAAGGCATCGGGGCCTGGGAAAGCCAGACCAAGCAGGGGCTCCAGACCAAAGGAATAGGGAGGGATGGACTTCTAGGGACAGGTCTGGAGGAAATGAGGACAGATTAGAGCTGGAGGGAGAGGGAGCAGAGACTCAGGGCCACCAGGGTCAGAAGGAAGTCCAAGTAGCCCTAGGGAAGAGGGACAGCAGGGAGCCAGGTGGGCGGGGACCCCGGCACTGGGTGCAAAGCCACAAGTTGTTGCTGAGCCGCTGGCCTTGGTGTCAGCTTCCTCAGAGAAGCAGCTGCTCTGAGCTGCTCCTCCCAACCCCTGCTCCAGGATGGGGGCGTCTCTTGGTTACCACCAGGGCAGCTGCTGGAGGAGCCAAGGGAGGGTACCCGGGTTGCAGGAAGGGGAGGACAGGCAGGAGAGAGGCTGGATGAAAGGGTGAAAGGTCAGTGAGGGGAAGGGGCCTGACATCCTGGGCTCAAGTCCTTCCTCCATCTAGGCCTCAGTTTCCTGAAATGAGCAGAGGCGTGTGGACTTCCTAAGTGTGGCTTCCTCAGGCTGCTTCCCACTCTGGGGCTCAAACTCCGAGACAGAGGACAGAAGAGGAGGCAGAGGACCAAAGAAAAGGAAGGCCCCCACTTTGGGGGCTGGCAGCAGGGGCAGGTGGAACTTGAGGGTTCAGTCTCCCTCAAGTCCATCCTTTCTGCCTGGACTTGGGGGAGGTGTGGCCTCCTGGGTGAACTGAGGACAAGGCGATCCTTCCCACCCCCTTTTCATAGTTCCAACAAACCCCTCCCCCGAAGCAGAGACCTGCTGTGACCTGAGGGGAGTGGGGAACAGTGGGTGGAACTGGGGGTGCAGGAGGGCATAATTGGCAGCCTCTCTTCCAAGGGACACAGCCCCCTGCACCTCCACCCAGCCCAGCACCCACAGTCTCTGCTGGAGTCAGGCTCACACCCGCCAAGCCTTTTGGCGCTGGCCAGCGTCTCCGGCACCTGGAGGAGTGACAGGGGCTACTGTCTTACAGCAGCAAGAATGCCCAAACATGGAGAGGGGCAGACAGAGAGATGGGCAGCTTTGAGGGAGTCGAGAGCCTGAGACGAGGGCAGGGGGCAGGCTTGGCAGCATATGCCTGCCAACAGGGCTTTAAGGTTATTCCTACCTCCCCCAGCTTTCCAGAGGGGGAAACAAGCCAGGGAGGGAAAACCACCCGCCAGGAGCTGCGGAAGGGAGGCCTCCTCGGGGAGGCTGCGGGTGTGAACTCCCAGAGGGAGGCTGAGCCAGAGGCATTCTTGGGGATCCCTTCCCACAGGGGTCCCTAAGCCCAGGGACGGAAATTGATCCTCCTGTCACACCTGAGGGCTGGAGCGAAAAGCATGGGACAGACTTAGCTCTGAAGGACTCAGCAACAGCTTGGCCAATCCCTGGAGTGCTGAACTTCGGGTTAACCATCTGTGGAAGGCTTACAGGGAAAGCCTCTCAGGCCCCAACAGCCAAGACGTGCCAGTCTGAGGAGTGGGTGGGTGCCCTCATCTGCCTCCCCTGCCCATCTTTGGAAGGCAGGTCCCTGAAGGCTGGCAGAGCTGGGGGAGGGGGAGCCTCAGAGCACCAGTTGCTGCTGGAAGATTAGGAGGGGATCAGGCCCTGCTTACCCTGGGGCGCCACAGCCTTCGCTGGCCATCTCAGAGAACACAGCACCCGGCTCTCCAAAGCATCCCCCGCTTTCAAGGCTGGTCCTTTCCCCAGTCTCCTGAGGCCAAGGTTTGGGGAGCCCCAGGGATTACAGAAAGCAGGAGAGCCAGCAGGCTTCCCTCGGCTAGCCCCCCGCCTGGGTTGCCTGGGAGCCCAGCTGTCTCCTGTCCATCTCCCAACAGGACACAAGGCCCAGAATAGCAAGGTCATGAGTGTGGGTAGGGCCTCCTGGAGGTGGGGGCCGACAATGAGGGGCATGAGGGTGTGGGCTCCATGCTGCCCGGGCAGGGAGTGAGGCAGGATGCTGAGAAGCAGAGCTGGACAGCGGGGAAGGGAGAAGGCCCAGCTTCGCGGGTGGGATTCTTCAGCCCCAGGCCCTTCCTTGCTGGCACCCACTGCTCCCAGAGCTGAGAAGCCCAGGGGTGCCCTCTGTTGGAGGACACAGCTGCACATCATTAAGACTGACTCCAAGAGCAGAGCCTGTGTTTAATGGGGTGAGGGGTGTGCCGCAATGGGGAGATGTTATGAACTCAAATGCCCACAGGGCCAGACCCTCACAGACAGCGAAGTGAACTGGTGGGAGTGGTACATATGTGGAAGGTGGACGTGCACAGCTGGATCTTCTGATTTTCAAGAGAAACCTGTGATCTGAATTTTTAATGTGGAACTCAAATGGAAACCTTGTCTAGGCCAAGCAAACCATGTCAGCAGCTCTGACTTAGACGAAACTTCACATGTCACAAATGAGGATGCTCAGGCCCATGGTGGCTATGCCTTGCCCAGGCCAGTGAGTGGCAAAGCCAGGACGGAAGCCAGTGCTCTCTGCCGTCCACCCTCCAACCTGGCAGCAGGCCCCTCTGTGGCCACTCTGTGACTGTCACATTAAATCTCTCCCAGCACAGCCACCGTGCCCTCTATTTCTTGCTGCCAGCTCTCTCCAGGGTAGGAAGCCGTAACTCAAATTCGGAGTAGGAAGGGCCCCTGAAGATAACCACGCCTGCCAATCATAGCTCATCCCATCAAGAGAACTCGCAGGAGACCCCAAGATCATTTAGCACTCCACAAACAAGGCTGTCAGCAGACAGGGACGGCCCGGAAAGCACAGCACTGCAGGGACTCGACCTGGGCCAACCCTCTGGCCTGCAGGCACTGAGTGAGCCACCTTCCCAACCCAACTGTCCCAGTCCCCGCAGCAAACACTGGCCATAGCCATCATGATAGAACCCAGATAAACCTTTTTATTTATGCTTCTCCATTTTGTTTAAAACAACAACAACAACCACCTTAATATAACTGACAGCCCTTCCCCCTTACCCTGCCTCGGGCTGGGGGTGGTTAATGGGGAAATGGCCCCCAGGGTGGGGCTGACCAGAAGAGCCCCTCAGGGAGGCCATGGAGCCCAAATCCCCTGCCCTGGGGAGGGGACCTGTAGTGTATGACGGGAGCAAACAGGCTCCCAAATCTCTGCTTGTACCATTGAAGATGCCCTTGGCAGACAAGGGTCAGGAAGCATGGGGGAGGGGTTTCAGCCTCTTCTGTCCCTACAAAGCCCAATCTCATGAGCAGGGCTGGGGGGGCAAAAGGGCAGATTGGGTGGGGTCATCTCACACAAAGGAGTACTGGTTGTTAATGGCCCTGGGGTGGCCCCCTTCCTCTCCATCACCCCCTAATGGTGACTGCTGCAGTTGTACCATCGGGGGCACCCCCGAGTCTGCACCAGACCCGGCACCGCTCTGGGCCTCCAAGCCTGGGGCTATGGCCTCTTCCAATTCAACCACGGGGACCAGCTCAACCACGGGGACCAGCTCTTCCGGGACCCCTCCACCGCCCGCTTTCTCTTTCTCTTGCCTCTCTTTGGCTGCTGCGGCTGCTGCTGCCGCCACTTCTGGCGCCCTCGACGCCTCTTCTGCCCCAGGCTGTGGGGGATCTGTCCATGAAGGGGGTTCAGGGGGCTGGGGTGGGTCATGGGAGGTGTTCGGTTCTGGATAGGAAGGGTAAAAAAACAGACTGATTGTGGAGGCAGGTGAGCTCCTGCCTCGGCCTCCCCTTCACTCAGCCCCCCAGGAGCATGGCTGTCTCCCCATATCCCATCTCCTGAGCAACCCCCCAACCATGGAAGATGGATCATGGGCGGCGGTGAGAGGAGGACCACACTTACACACAGTCACTCGCTCCGAAGGGCATGAGGGTGCAGGAGGCATCGGGGTGGCATCCATCTCCCTCGCACACCCCCGCATGGCTCCCGGCCTGCTTCCGGCCTGGGGGGGGAGGGGCAACGTGGGGACAGATGGGACGGTGGGGCGGGGGAGAGGAAGAGATCAGACAGGGACATGAGACATTGAGGGAGGAGGGAGGGGATCAGACCGAGCGTCCCCAGGAAGGGCAGGCCCAAGGCCAGGCCAAAACAGAGGGCAAAGACGAAGCCAGGAGGATGGGTCCAGGAGACAGACAGACGATGGAACAGAGGATCCGATGGAATGGGGATGCGCCCGCCCGCCTCTCAGCTGCCACCCGGACTCCAGCCAGGAGCCTTCTGCCTTCCTGCATCCTATCAGTGCATTTCTTTCCCTTCCAAACCCCCAGGCACAGCAGCCTCCTCTACCCTGCTCTCCCAAGCAAAGCCTCTCCTCATCACAGCCCCCCCGCCCCATCTTTCTGGCACACACACCTCACTTCTTGGGTGCACGGGCACCTCCTCCCCTGCAGACCTGCTCTGCTCACCCTGCTGTCGCTGGGAGAATGGGACATAGCTGACAAGGACAACATCACTGGAGCCTCCAGACTCCAGAGGGATGGGGTGCACCCGGAAGTGCTCGAGCATATCGAAAATGGTCTGGAACCACAGGTGCTGGACCCGGCACTGACCCTCCTCGTTCAGCGACAAACGCAGGTGCTAAGGGCAGGACAGGGGTGGTGAGGTAGGAGGCAGAGGCCCTGCCAGGTACAAACCCCCTCCCCCAGCAGCACTCTCCCACCCCACGGCCAACTGCACAGAACAGAGCCTTTCCTGCAGGGTTGCTCACCTTGGCCTTGCCCTGGAAGTTGAAGGTGAGGACATATTCACCTCGTCTTGTCTCACTCTGGCGCACCAGGAAGACACCGTGGGAGCCAGTGCCACCAGTCAGCACCAGCTGCGCAGCCTTGAGCCGGGACAGCATCCCGTGGAACCAAGGATACCCTGAGAGGGGCTGGTCCCCCTCACCGCCCTCTGGCTCCCCCTGGAACAGGAAGGACCCTTCAGGAAGGAGAGAGGGAGGGAAACCGGGGTGTCAGGGCAGCCTCCCCCATCCTGGGAGAAAAAAGCTTGCCTTCCCCTGGAGGTGCCTGTTCCCTGCATGCATCCCCAACTCTCCCAGGCCAGCTCCCTCAGGATCCCAGGAGAAGCCATCAAGGCAGGCAGGCACCCAGGCCTGGAGACATACACACTCACACTTCCAGTACCTGTCACTGTTTCCGGAGTGTCCAAGGGAGGGTAGGGGGCTGAAAGGGGATGAACTGTCCCTGCTGGGGGTCCCTCTTCAATGGGGATGCGGGGGGGCAACTCTGGGGGAAGCAATTCCATCGAGTCAAAATGGGAGGCAGCAATGGAGGCAGAGCTGGGGGAGATGGATGCCGAGGGGCGGTCTGAGAGGCCCCCATATGCCCCTGGAGAAAAAAAGGGCAAAGCTGAGAACCTAAGAAATTCCTCTTCTAAACAACTGTCCTGGGACCATTTCCTCACCACTAGTCTACCCTGCATGCACTGGCAACAGTCTCTGGCCAAGATGCCAAATAGCTCTGTGGGTAGTGACCCCTGATGCTGTTTACCAATGGCTCCTATTGATGCTTCCTGCGCTGCCAGGAGACTGTTTACTGCAAGAAGGTCCTAAAGTCCAAATGTGTCTCTTTTTCTGAATTAACAGCCGAAAGATTATTGTAGAAATGGAGAGAATGCATTAAATATTTAGATACATATTTTTGTAGAGAAGGAGTCTCGCTATACAATAGCCCAGGTTGGCCCTGAGCTCCTGGTGTCAAGCGATGTACCCAACTCAGTTCTGGGATTATAGGTGTGAGCCACTGCTCCAAGCCACCTCAAATATTTTGACATTCAAAAGGAGTCCTGGGCCGGGCGCAGTGGGAGTTGGGGACACCTGAATCTCAGCACTTTGGGAGGCTGAGGCAAGAGGATCACTTGAGGTCAGGAGTTCGAGAGCAGCAGCCTGGGCAACAAGATGAAACCCCATCTCTACTAAAAACACAAAAATTAGCCGGGCATGGTGGTGCGTACCTGTAATCCCAGCTACTTGGGAGGCTGAGACAGAATTGCTTGAACACGGGAGATGGAGGTTGCAGTGAGCTGAGATCATGCCACTGCACTCCAGCCTGGGCGATAGAGCAAGCCTCTGTCTCAAAAAAAAAAAAAAAAGAAAGAAAACACACACACACTACAGGAGTCTGGCTGGACACAGTGGCTTACATCTGTAATCCCAGCCCTTTGGGAGGCCGAGGTGGGAGAATGACTTCAGCACAGGAGTTCAAGACCAGCCTGAGCAACATGGTGAGACCCTATGTCTTACAAAAAAATAAATAATTAGGTGGGTGTGGTGGCACACGCCTGTGGTCAGCAACCTGAGCAGCTGAAGCAGGAAGATGGCTTGAGCCCGGGAGGTCAAGGCTACAGAGGCTGTGATTGCGCCATTGCACTCCAGCCTGGGAAATAAAGTGAGACCCTGTCTCAAAAACAAAAACACAAACAAAAAAAAATTTAAAAACAGGCCAGGTACAGTGGCTCACGCCTGTAATCCCAGCACTTTGGGAGGTCGGGGCAAGCAGATCACGAGGTCAAGAGATCAAGACCATCCTGACCAACATGGTGAAACCCCGTTTCTACTAAAAATACAAAAAAATTAGCCGGGCGTGGTGGTGTGTGCCTGTTGTCCCAGCTACTCGGGAGGCTGAGGCAGGAGAATTGCTTGAAACTGGAAAACAGAAGTTACAGTGAGCTGGGATCATACCACTGCACTCCAGCCTGGCGACAGATCGAGACTCTGTCTCAAAAAAAAAAAAAAAAAATTAAAACAGTAGCAAAAATGGTGTCCTTTTGTTTTAACTATAGACAAAGCCTCCTAACTCTAAGAGGCATCAAAGATGCTCCTTGTATTACTCCCCCCCACCCCAAGACAACTTGATTTTTACTTTACCTTGTATTCATGTCTTTTCCACTTTAACCCAATTATACTGTCAAATTTGTCACCATATCCTGGGCCCTCCTCCCCCAGGTCTCTGCTCTCGCCCTTTTCGTCCCCGGGTGTCCTCTCCTCTCCTCCTCTGTGTCGCAGTCCCTGTCTCTCCCACCTTCCCCTGCTCTCTTCCTCCCCTGAGCTCCCAACGTGCTTCCTGCTTGTGCTGCTCATGGAACACTAAGCTTTCTATAGGGAATGATGTCAACCCAGCTGAACGCCTCCAGAGGACAGGGGGCTCATGTCAGGCATCTGAGCTCCCCCATCTTGGCCCGGGACACAGCACAGGGCCAGGTATGGACTAAGACCATCTTCAAAGTCTGTCCAACGGCAGGCCAGAGCCTACACAAATGTCAGGCAGGCAGGCTGAGAACACAGGCATGTGGTGCACCGACAGCATAGCACAGGGGTCACACTGGCACAGCCTGTCTTCCTCAGTGACTCTCAGCTGTCCTCTCCCTGGTCTCAGCTACTGAGATTTGATGAAGTGCAAGGCCCACTCTAGATCCAAGATTCTATGATTCATTTGTTCATTCACTCAATACAGCCTGTGTGCTAGGCACTGTGCAGATGGAACTCAGAATGGCGGGTCAGGAGAAAAGGCAATAGTAGAGGCCGAGTCTGGAAATATAAGTCTCGACCAGGGGACGCATTTTTCTGTGTTTATGTGTGTGGGTTAGGTATGTGTGTTTGGTCAGACCAGAAGGTACGGAGTCAAGAGAATACGTGGATGCCCCTGACAGACACAGAGAGGCTGAGTAAGAGCAAAACAAAGATTTCTACAAAGTGTTCCAGAAGCTTGGCGAAGACAACCATTATCTCCAGCCAGAGTGGTGGCCTGCAGGAGACTGATGGAAAAAGTGACAAGGCTGGCTAGGAGTCTGCTTGGGGCCTACGTGGGGTTGCAATGGTTCTAAACAGCAAACTGTGCCTGGTGAACATGTGGCATGTTCAGAGACAAAAGACCAACACTTGGTGGGGTTGGAGTGAGGCATCTAGAAAATAGGGATGGGGCACAGTGGAGTCTGGAGAGGGCCTGGGGCCTGACAGCAGGGGCCCCTGCATGGCACGTTCTGAGGCTCTGAGTTCTCTAAGGCTCCACCCTTACCCTTCAACAGGCTAGGCAAAGCAGGGCCACCCCCGGCCCCCCCGGTGGGTTCTGAGGCTCCCAACTCTCTAAGGCTCCACCCTTACCCTGCGACAGGCGGTCATTGCTCTCACTGGGTCCCAGCAGCAGGTCCTGGCTGGGAAGACTCTCCGAGTGATTCAGGCAGGACAGCTCCAGGCTGTCTGTGTTCTCCCTTGTAAGGAATGAGGTCCCAGGGGCCAGAGGGAGGGTCATGGGGCGGGGACTGGTAGCAGGGCAGGGTCTGCAGAGACAGGGAAGATGGTGCTGGGAGGAAAGTCACCAGGTGAGAGGCGAAAGGCTGTTCCCCAACCCCACCCCATGTCCCTTTGCGATGGAAGTCGGGCTCCTCACCCTGGGCTCAGGCATTCTTGGATGTCAGACACCCAGGCCTTCACATGCTGGGCATCCACTGTCTCCAGAATATACTCGGAGGGGCCTTCCACCTACAGAGATGAGATGAGGCCTCAGCTGGGGCAAGGGCAGGGGCAGGGATGAGGCTTAATCCACGCCTAATGAGAACAAAGTGTGTAGGCTATCTAAAAACAAGTTGTATTTGAATTCTCTCTGGAGGCTGGGTGTGGTGGTTCACACCTGTAATCCCAACACCTTTGGGGGGGGGTCACTTGAGCCCAGGAGTTTGACCAGCCTGGGCAACACAGTGAGATTCTGTCTCCAAAAAAATTAAAAAATAAAATTAGGCTGGGTGCAATGGCTCACGCCTGTGATCCAACACTTTGGGAGGTCAAGGGGAGTGGATCACTTGAGGCCAGGAGTTTGAGACCAGCCTGCCCAATGTGGGAAAACCCCATCTCTGTTAAACATATAAAAAAAATTAGCCGAGCATAGTGGTGCACGCCTGTAATCCCAGCTACTCAGGTGGCTGAGGCACTAGAATCGCTTGAACCCGGGAGGCAGAGGTTGCAGAGAGCCAAGACCATGCACTGCACTCCAGCCTGGGAGGTAGAGCAAGGCTCTGTCTCAAATAATAAATAATAAAAGTAGCCAGGAATGGTGTCATATGCCTGTAGTCCCAGCTCCTTAGGGGGATGAGGCGGGAAGATGGCTTGAGCCCAGGAGTACGAGGCTACACGGGCTACAGTGAGCTATGATCAGGTCACTGCACTCCAGCCTAGGCGAAAGAGAGAGACCCTGTCTCTCCAAAACAATAGCAAAAAGCCCAGAGCTCTCTTTGAAGTGGAGGCACTGTTTTAGAGAATAAGAACATCTCCTTCTTTACCCCATCCCAGAAATATCACAGCCCCATGGATGTACTCTCAAGGCACTGGACACAACAGACATCTCCTTTCAGCAACACCATGTGCCCAAATGCACTGAGGGCTTTCTCCTCAACACATGCACTGCCAGCGAATGGGAAGCTGAACTCCTACCTTAACCACAAACGTGTTCTCCCGGTCAGGCATCTCCAGGGCTGTGGTTGTCCGGACATCCGTGATAGAAGAGCAGGGGATGCTGAGTCGAGGCCGAGAGGCCTAGGTTGGGAAAGAGAACCAGATGCCACAGAGATTTGGTTTGCAGAGACCACCCTTCCCTTCCCTCCAGACATTCTTCTTTCCTTCTACATCCTTGGGAAGCTAGATAAAAGGCAGTTACACTGCTTTCTCAGTCCTGCCCACAGCTGCTAACACAGAACCAGGAGCCAGCTTTACAAACAAAGAATGATGCCAGGGTTGTAGGCTGGTAAACTCCAAAGCTCATCTGCAGGGCTGTGACCACTGTGGCCGCTCTCTCCCTCGCTCCCAGGCACCCACCCTCCTCGGGTCCTCACCTTGGGTGGTACAAAGAACTCCAGGCGACTTCCTCCTCCTCCTTCTCCTTCACTTCGAAGCAGCAGGCGACACTTTTGCCACTGAGGCTGCCCTCCTCCCCCTGAAGAAGGACCAGCCGCCCCTCCTCCCCGGCCCACTCCGGCTAGGTCAGGGGCTGCCTCTTCAGCCCCCATGAAACTCAGCAGCTCTTCCCTCTGCACCATCCCTGCTCCATCCTTCAAGGCGCCCCCTCCCCGACTGAGTCTCAGCCTCTCAAAACGGTGAGTCCATCTTTCCCCAGGAGATGTTCCATCACTGACCAGTCCCCTACCAATGGTCCCAGCCCCGCCAGAGGAGTTGGAGTTGCTGTTTCCACCTAAGACTGGGGGGCCTGATGAGGCATCCAGGGGCCCAGCCGGGGTGGGAGGGTCAACGGTCCCCCGCCACTGCAGGATGCCACGGACTGAGCCTCGGACAGAGCGACCCACTGAGCGCAGGGAGAAGCGCTTCTTGAGCTTCGGCTTCGAGGTCGTAGAGGAGGAAGAGACTGAGGAAGGGAGGGGGCCGGCCAGGTCCTCAGATGATCGAGAAGGGCCCAGCACAGCCAGGGGCCCACCCACCCTGCAGCTCTCAAGGGACAGGTCATGTGGTGATATCTCCGCACCAGGGCTCAGGGGAGCCAGGATGGGTGGTGACAGGGAGCCAGAGGCCCGGGCCACCTCCGCTTCAAAGTGCTGCAGGAAGAGCTCGGCAAAACGGCGGGAGAAGGCAGCCTCAGCCCCGGGCCCCGCATATTGGGGGTGGGAGGCCAGGTAGAGGCGAAAACGGCGGGCAAAGTCCAGGGCAGCAGCCCGGGCATGGGACTCACAGAACTCCCGCCAACTAGGGGGCGGGGGTGGGGGCAGCGGGGGAGACGAGGGGGAGGCCCCGTCCTCTGGGGAAGGGGCACCATTCATGATGGGCCCCAGGAGGTGGAGAGGGGGAGCCTGTGGGGCGCAAAGAGGGAGGCGGCCAGAAGACGGGTGGGCGGCAGCAGCTGCGAAAGGAAGAGAGAGGCACACACGAGGGTCACTGCTGAGGGCGCATTGGGGGCTGCGTCCTACCCCCAGCCAGAGAGGTCCAACCCTGCTTCAGACTCCGCAGAGAGCAACGGGGAAGGAACCCCAACACCTTCCTTTCCTCTCCTAGATCCTGGCACCCCGAAGGCCCCAGGCAACTAGCACCAGTGTCTAGCTAGCCTGCCATGTTCACCCCCACTTTCCTTAGCTTTGGATCCAGTGGTAGAGGGCTATGGAGCACCTTCCCCCCAAAAAAGAGATCTTTTCCAGATCACCCCCCTTCTCTAAGTCAGATCCTCCAATATTGACGTCATACTTCCCATGAGCCATTCTAGAGGTTCCCACGTGGTTATCTTACCTTTCCCTGTGAGAGGTTTCAATGACCTCTAGAACAGATGAGGAAACCGAAGCTCAGAAAACTCTCAGAACTCCAAATCTACCTTTTTCCCCACTCCATAGTCCTTGTCCCCAGGGACCAGCTGGGCCAGCCTCAGCCATAGCACCTCACCGCCCCAGCTCGCAGGGGGACAGAGGGGAGCTGGGACTCTAGACCTTAGAGAGCCTGCCTCACGGATCTTAGGATCCAGCTCGTTGGAGGTGGAGATTCATTAAGGAGAATGGATGCATGATGGACCAAACAGTTGTCTTGAAAGCTGACCCCAGAGTCCAGCAACCAAGCACTGTGTGAAGGAGACTTGAAATGGTAAGAGCCCACTTCTCTGGTATCCCTTCTTTGATATCTCCTCTGGGGCCAGAGGCCGCAGGGGCCCCACAGGAGAAACTGGGTGGGTCAGGTCAAGTCTTTGCTGGCCTCACATAAACAAAACATTACAGGGAGAGCTGGGGCCCTAAGAGTTTTCACCTTCCTCTCCTCCCACTGGGGTGTATGCCCTAAAGGCAGGCTAGCCTACTGGTTAAGGCCATGGGCTCTGGAGTCAGACCAGTGCTGAAACCACCCTATAAGCGCCCAGCCCAGCCATCTTATGAGCAATGTGATCCTGAACAAATTCCACGTCCTCTCTGAGCCTCTGTTTTTTTTATGTTAAACAGAGCTAATGATCCCTCCCACCTCAAAGTGTTGAGAGAACTACATGGAATGGGATATGTCAGCGCTGAACGAAAAGTAAGCACCCGCTAAACGACTGCCATTGTTACCATCTTCATAGGGGAGAATATTATAGTTCCAATTTTCTAAAAGAGAAATTAAAATTAGAGAAAGGAGGAGCCCTCTCAAGGTCTTAGAACTAGAAAGTGGCAGAGCTGGGTGTGGAATTTACAACCCGTGGCTCTTTTGTTAGCGCTCCTCTCCCGACGCAATACTGAAAGGTGACAGCCCCAGGACTGGGGCCAGGGGAGCTCAGTAAAGTCTCCCCAAACCCTCCGCGACCTCAGACTCCTGTTCAAACCCAGAGCCAGGCAGTAAGTCGGCGACGCCTCCCCTTCCTCCTTGGCCTCGGCCCTACACACTCAGATGGCTCCAACCGCAGGGACAACTCCAAACTAACGAGAAGCAGCCAGGAGATGCAGGAGTCATGGAGCACGGGGGAACACAGCCAAGAGGTGCAGACACAGCAGAGACCAATCTCCAGCCAGCGGCCACCTCGACTCACACAGGCCCACCCAACCCTCTGCACCGCAGACAGACCCAGCCCCCTTCAGGCCCGCTGATCCTGCGGCTCCTGAGCTGGTGACTCAGTTTCTCTTCTGCCAAGCAGGACTCAGACACATTTTCCCGGTGCACCTGCCTCTTGGGTCAGTTCTGATATTTCCCGAAGGGCGGGTGGTGGAGGGTGCTGGCTCCGCTCCCGGCTCGGACCCTCCGGGCCCGGTGGTCCATCCACTCCGACCTGACCCTACTCCCTGGACATCCCCCAGCCGCCCATTCCCCGGGGCCGCAACCGCCGCGGGAATAGCCCAGTCCGCTGCACTCTCCCGGACGAGTGCCCCTCCAGCCCCCGGCCCTCCACGCCCACTCCCACCCCAGGGATCCTCTCGGGCGCCGGGACCGGGTCGCGGAGAGGGAAGAGGCACTTGAAGAGGGGGGTTCCGGTTCCGGTCCCACCTGCATCTCGGTCCCCGCGGTTAGCTCTGGCGGCGGTGGCGGCTCCCGCTCCCTGCGCCCCCACCCCCTCCGCGACGAGCGCCCAGCCTGGTTCTGCGCAGGCGCCGGGAGCCCCTTTCCCGTTGCCGAAGGAAGCGACCATAGAGAAGAGCGGCGGGAGGGAAGGGCAACTACATACTTACTTCCGCCATCCTCCCACTCCGCGCCGACCCCGGGAGACCTAAGACGGTGTGAATCTCATAGGGCTTCAGTGCCTTCTCCAGTTACACCTAAAAGCGACCACGGAGGCAGCTGGAGAAGGGCTTGGATCCTACCAGAGCGTCATCCTGGAGGAAATTCGGGACAAAGGGGCTATGTCGACCATAGAGAAGCTGCCTTAGGGGACAGTCCCGGGCCCGGCTAAGGGCTAGAGTAGCCGCCGAGCATTGGAAACCAGCGAGATGAGGAGGCTGTGTGAACAGCCCGCTGCAGCCTAGAGCGTCGGCCTCGCTGCAGAGGGGCACGCGGATAACGCCCCCAAGGAGCGGGGCGAGTGAAGAAGCGGTTGACCTTGGGGAGGCCCTGCGGGGAGGCGGAGCCTGAACTTACGACCTTGGTTTATCTGAGGAAAGGGGCAGATCCAGGAGGTTGCATCTCTGAGACGGGAGTTGAAGGTGGGGGGAAGAAATAATGTCAGCTTTGGGACATCTGTGGGCATATAGCCTGGAGCTCAGAAGAGACATCACGGCCAGTTAGAGAAATCGAGAACAATTAAGGTATCGAGGATAGTCGAAAGCATGAGCACAGTGAGATCTCCACCGATCCAGTCTCTCAGTGACCGGGATCCAGCTGGCCTAAACAAAGGAACCTATGGCCCATGTAATCGAAAAGTCCAGAGCGGGTCACACTTCTTCTGAATAGGTGAACACAGGAGCCAGAAGATACAGGAACATGTAGCTCACCATCGCTCTGGTTCTGCCTCCCGAGTGCATTTGCCTTCACCCTCGGACAGGCTCTCCTAAGTGGGAAAATAGCTTTCCGTGGCTTCAGGCTTAAACCCTAATATCTTAGCAACTCTCCTAGAAGGAGCATGCCTCTTTTCTGAGATTTCCAGTGAAATTTCCAGAACTAAGTGGCTGATTGGACCAAGTGCCCATCCTGGAACAAGGTGGCAAATAACCCCAAAGAGGAAGGTGGATAAATATCCTGATTCACCTAAGAACGTTCAGGCAGGGTGCGGTGGCTCACACCTGTAGTCTCAGCACTTTAGGAAGCCAAGGCGGGTGGATCACCTGAGGTCGGGAGTTCAAGACCAGCCTGACCAACATGGAGAAGTCCTGTCTCTACTAGAAATAGAATATTAGCCGGGGTGGTGGCACATGCCTGTAATCCTAGCTACTCGGAAGGCTGAGGCAAGAGAATTGCTTGAACCTGGGAGGCGGAGGTTGTGGTGAGCTGAGATGGTGCCATTGCACTTCAGCCTGGGCAACAAGAGTGAAACTCTTGTCTCAAAAAAAAAAAAGGATGTTCTAAGATGGACAGATGGACAGGCATGGTGGCTCATGCCTGTAATCCCAGCACTTTGGGAGGCCAAGGGTGGGGTAGATCACCTGAGGTCAGGAGTTCAAGACCAGCCCAGGCAACATGGTGAAAACCTGTCTACTAAAAATACAAAAATTAGTCACACGTGGTGGCGGGTTCCTGCAATCCCAGTTACTTGGGAGGCTGAGGTCGGAGGACTGCTTGAACCTGGGGGGCAGAGGTTGCAGTGAGCCAAGATCCAGCCACTGCACTCCAGTCTGGGCAACAAAGCAAGACTCCATCTCAAAAAAAATGTTTAAAGCTGAGGCAGCCAGATGGAGTTGGAAAAACTTGTGGAAGGACTAGTTCTGGTTTAGCCAATCTGAGTCCCCCTGCTGTAACTAAACTAACCTCAGCTCAGAGATGTCCTTTAAGGTCTTCGTCACCAGCTGTGTTTATCCCTCTTCCCAGCTCAGAGGAAGACATCAATGAAAAGAATCCTATTCCTGTGGTCTACACCACATCCACCCCATACCCTTACACACCCTTTCTCTGTAGTTGGCCCAGCATTGTCTGGAAGAGAGGCCCAGTTGAAGGATACAGAAAGGCAAGGAGCTGATGATTGGAAGCGTTGTGGCTAAGCTGGCCAATAAAGCTCTCGGTGCTGACCAAAATGTTCTACATTGGCACTGTCCCATGTTGAGTTTCGGGTCACATGTAGCTATTAAGCACTTGTAATATGGCTAGTGTGACTGAGGAACTAATTAAAACAGCCACCTGAGGTGAGCGGTTCCTGAACTGGACAGTGCAAGAGGTGTCCTTGTAGGCCAGGCATGGTACTTCACACCTGTAATCCCAGAACTTTGGGAGGCCAAGGCGGGTGGATCATGAGGTGAGGAGTTCGAGACCAGCATGACCAACATGGTGAAACCCCGCCTCTACTAAAAATACAAAAATTAGCCAGGTGTGGTGGCATGTACCTGTAGTCCCAGCTACTTGGTGGGGCTGAGGCAGGAGACTCGCTTTAACTGGGGAGGCAGAGGTTGCAGTGAGCTGAGATTGCGCCACAGCACTCTAGCCTGGGCAACAGAGTAAGACTCTCACACAAAAAACAAGGTATCCTTGGACAACTGGGTGGAGCTGTCCAGCAGAGATGGATTTCTAGGCTGAACTACACAAAGCAGTTTGGTGGTGATCAGATATGAGTAGTGGTTGAAGCCAGGGACATCAATGGATTGTCCAGATAATATACATAGAGAGGAGAAGAGGGCCTAGGGCCCAGTTCTGGGGAACAGTCAACAACAGGTAGGCAAAGAGAAGTAGAACGTGCTGAGATGGGTTAGGTAGGGTGGCTCATGCTGGAATCTCAGCACTTTGGGAGGCCGAGGCAAAAGGATTGCTTCAGCGGAGTTTGAGACTATCCTGGGTAACTTACCTAATCTGTCCTTGTAAAAAAAGAGTTGTTGACTGGGTGCTGTGGCTCTTGCTTGTAATCCCAGCACTTTGGGAGGCTGAGGCGGGCAGATCATGAGGTCAAGAGTTCGAGACCAGCCTGACCAACATGGTGAAACCCATCTTTACTAAAAATACAAAAAAAAAATTAGCCAGGCCTGGTTGCAGGTGCCTGTAATCCCACCTACTGAGGAGGCTGAGGCAGAAGAATTGCTTGAACCCGGGAGGCGGAGATTGCAATGAGCTGAGATCGCACCATTGCACTCCAGCCTGGGTGCAGAGCAAGACTCCATCTCAAAAAAAAAAAAAGTTGTTGTTGTTTTAATTCTTTTTTTTTTTTGAGACAGAGTATTGCTCTGTCGCCCAGGAATGGCTCACTGCAACCTCCGCCTCCTGGGTTCAAGCTGTTCTCATGCTTTAGCCTCCTGAGTAGCTGGGATTACAGGAACACCAACACATCCAGCTTTTTTTTTTTTTTTGAGGTAGAGTTTCGTTCTGTCGCCCAGGATGGAGTGCAATGCCGCAATCTCAGCTTGCCGAAAACTGTGCCTCCTGGGTTCAAGCCATTGTCCTGCCTCAGCCTCCTGAGTAGGTGGGATTACAGGCATGTGCCATCATGCCTGGCTAATTTTTGAATTTTTAGTAGAGACAGGGTTTCACCATGTTGGCCAGGGTGGTCTCGAACTCCTGACCTTGTGATACACCCACCTTGGCCTCCCAAAGTGCTGGGATTACAGGCATGAGCCACTGTGCCTGGCCCACACCCAGCTAATTTTTGTATTTTTGGTAGAGGTGGGGTTTTGTCATGTTGCCTAGGCTGGTCTCGAATTCCTGAGCTCAAGTGAACTGCCCACCTCGGCCTCCCAAAGTGCAGAGATTACGGGTATGAACCACCAAACCTGGCCTGGGTTTTTTTGCTTTTGCTTTTGTTTTTAAGATAATTGAAAAGAAAGAAAAGAAAATGCAGAGATGATGCATGTGGTCAGGTTTCCCAGAAACACCTTGAGATGAGGAGTTATGTGCATGTGATTGATTACGAAAGGACTACCAGGAGAAACCAGTTAAAGGTGTGGGAGAGGCCAGGCGCGGTGGTTCACACCTGGTGAACCACCCAGCACTTTGGGAGGTCATCCCAGCACTTTGGGAGGCTGAGGCAGGCAGATCACAAGGTTAGGAGTTCAAGACCAGACTGGCAAACATGGTGACACCCTGTCTCTACAAAAAAATACAAAAATTAGCTGGGCATGGTGGCTCGTGCCTGTAATCCCAGCTACTTGGGAGGCTGAAGTAGGAGAATTGCTTGAACCAGGACCCAGGAGGCGGAGGTTGCAGTGAGCCAAGATCGCACCACTGCTCTCCAGCTTGGGCTACAGAGCGAGACTCCATGTCAAAAAAAAAAAAAAAAAAAAGGTGTGGGAAAAGTGGGAAAAAGGACAGGAAGCCAAGCAAGGGTGTGATGTCAAGCAGAGAGTTCAGTTGGATCCCACAGGGGAGCCTCCGATTCGTCCAGAGACAAGGCAGCTGGGGTCTTCATACACAAATATCCCCCAGCCCTTAACCAAGGGCTACTACCCCAGGAGATGTCAATTCCCAGGCATTTTCACCAAGGCAGAGCCCTCCAGTAGCCTGAGATGTTAAAAAAAAAAAAAAGACTAGGGAGGCTGAGATGGGGAGGATTGCTTGAGGCCAGGAGTTTGAGACCAGTCTGGACAACATAGTGAGACCCTGACTTTACAAAAAATAAATAAAAATTAAAAAAAGTTAACCAGATACACTGATGTGCACCTGCAGTCTCAGCTATGCAGGAGGCTGAGACAGGAGAATCAACTGAGCCCAGGAGTTTGAGGCTGCAGTGAGCTATGATCATGCCATTGCAACCATCCTAGGTGACAAACCCTCTTTCTAAAAAAAAAAAAAAAAAAAAGGTGGGGGGCCAAGCACAGTGGCTCAAACCTGTAATCCCAGCACTTTGGGAAGCTGAAGTGGGTGGACCACGAGGTCAAGAGTTCAAGACCAGCCTGGCCAACATAGTGAAACCCCATCTCTACTAAAAATACAAAATTTAGTTGGGTATGGTGGTGCCCACCTTTGCCTGTATCCCAGCTACTCAGGAGACTGAGGCGGGAGAATTGCTTGAACCCG